AGATCTGTTGATCTGAGGTAAGCAGCAAAAAGTGCCTTATTGATGATTACCCAAATTTTTTTCTTGGTGGTTCTGGTGATGTAGCCGATATTGTTCACCTTAAGATAGTTTGCCTTGAATTCATTTTCAATTTTTTCATACTCAAGTTGGTATTTGCCTTTGATTTGTTTGCTTTTGGTAAAAGTTCTGAAGAAATCTCTGTCTTTATAACCGATTTTTGTAAAAATAGCTTTTAATGAAGATCTGGAAAGACCTTTGAGGTCATCTCTAATTTTAATAAAGAGTTTAAGTACGTCTTCTGGAGTTTTGGGGCAGTTAGTAATTTCTTCACAGTACAAAAGAATCTTGGTTTGTTCATTTTCAGGAGTAGTGTTACAAATGTCATTTTCAGGTTGGCTAGTGGTTGGAGATGATAGTATGGCTTCTGTTTCATCAGCCCAAGAGGAGATATTAGTTGTGGGTTGTGAGTGTGGCTCATTGTGTATAGGAGAATCATCAATTTCTATTTCAGAAGGGTTTCGTGTGTTATGTTGATTGGTACTGTTCTCATGCAGGGGTGCATTAGTGCCTGAGTTATTTGTTTCAGATTCATGTGGGTATTTTGTTAAGTTATTGTCAATAGGTAGTACAGATTCAGGGGTAGATGTAGGGATTGTCTCAGGAGAAGAATCAGGTTGCATGCTATTGTCGTCGATCATTTTCTCTGTGGGTGCAGGTGTATTTGGAGGAGGTAAAGGCGTCCTGGTTTTTCTTTCAAGAGTAAAAGTTTTACTTTTTTCAAAAGTAGTAATATCGAGTTTCTCCCAAGGGATGTGTAAGCCATAGTTAAGGTCATGTTTCATAATCTCTCTCATGATATCTGTTCTGTCCTCATCTGTGAGTTGGAAGGTGTGTTGGAATTCCATAAAGGAGTTTAAGTCTTCTAAGGGCATTGATTCTGGCATGGTTATAGTGGCGAGTGTGAGTATAGGAGATATTCTGGTTCTTTGGTAGTCTTCAAAAGTGGCACTAATAATATTAGGACTTTTCAAATCACTTTGTAAGGAGCGGACAGCTGTTATCCATACTTTTGGGCAGTTTCCCAGTCTGGGAAGGCGTATTGATTGGGCAGGAGTAGAGGCATAGATTTTATTTATTTTGGTATTTCTGTAAATGATGATAGCTTGGAGGCTTTTGATATTGGTTACAAGTACGTCGAGAAGGACATGTTCATGGTTGGCTGCTTGACCCTTGGAAAGGGAGGGCTCCCCAGGGTCTTTCGCTTTTTTTTTCCAAGAAGAAATTTTGAGTTTCTTAATTTAGTAATTTTTTGCGATGCAAATGTGTTTAGGAAAGAGTTTTTAAATTTATTACCAAAATTTATTTTTTTTTTTTTAAAGACTAAATTGCAATATATATATATATTTTATTGATAAATCAGTAATGATTATAATTATCTTATACATAAAGAATTTATTAACTATTGCTAGTATTAATTCAAGCTATTCACTCTTTTTATAAAAATACTTATTAACTTATATTACAGAGATAGATCAATATTCTGGCTTTTATTACTATGAAATAGTCCTATTGATTATCTTTGCAAGAATCTATTACTTCATACCTTTTCTATTACTAACTGCATATAAAGCAGCAAATATTTTTAATACAAGTATATATTCTCTAATGAATGTTCCAGTTTTACTGCTGGTTAATACAGATTATCAAATCTAAAGACTATTTTGATCAAGTGGAACATCACTTCTTAAGTGACTTTTTTCTTTAAACTCTTAGTAAATATTCTATTTAAGCCAGTTAATATAAGCTACCAAATCTAGAGGTATGAATATCAAACAGGATACAACTTTTATTTTTTGGGAGAGTTTCTCCAGTAGGTAAATATCATTTCTTTATTTTGATTTGTATATAACAAGATATACATTGTTAAAAGAAACAACATTTCTTTTATTATTTAAAGAAAGTTAAATGCTAGTTTGCCTACTTATCAATATCTAACTAATATCATAAAAAAATTCAAAATCAATATTAATGTACTAGATAAGGCTGAGTAGTGGCTATACCTACCATTCCAAAAAATTTACAAATTCTTTTGATTTTTTGAATGTAAAAAATTAAAAATAAAAATAAAAGTAACTATAACTAAAACTAAATCAAATATATTATAAGATTCATATGTTGAACAAAAAAATTCCCTGGTGGGCTTATGGTCCCAACTATGTCCTTTTGCATGTTATAGATAATAGAGTACACGTAATATCATTTGTTATTATGGTCGTTGGTAGTGAGTTAGTTATTGTTATTGTTGTGATTATTGTTGTGGTACAAAACCGGTTTAAGTTTATTTGGTTTTTGTTTTGATTATTAGACAAAATCTGATTGGATGATTGAAGAGTGCTGATCATTTGGAGGGATAAACTGATTTTGGTTTTTTGAGTGAGAATTTTTTAAAGATTGAAGGTGACACAGCAAATATTGCTATAAAAATATTGTGTATAAGAGTTGACTTGAAACAAACAGTAGACTCACTAACTTTGTTTGAGTGTGTGTTTTGAAAAGTATTTGGTTTAGCAAGTATAATGGTGATAATGTGGATAATTTTTATAATAGAATAAGTGTAAGGAGAGATACAAGAGAACTGAAGAAAAGAGAACTGTCACGGGCCTTTTCTTATGTAATCAAAGGATAAGCAAAACTTTCAAACTTGATTAGATTTTAATTAAAGGTTCTATTTCACTGCATCAATTGTTTTAAAGGTTTTTGAGTTCTTGAGCTAGGGCTTACTTGTGATAAAGAGAGTAAAATATTTTTTCTTGCTTAAAATTATTATAAAAGGAATTTTTTTAATAAAATGGACAGGACATAACTTTTATATACTTTGTTTTATTATATAATTATCATGTTAAATATATGAATAGTGTTGGATTAGTGTTTATCTTTAAAATCTTTTTACTTTAATAATTGAGTTTAATTACCATAGGTCACTTCTGACAATTATTATGCTTCAACCAAATAATTATTATACTGCAATATCTTTTCTAAAGATTATAATCTCAATGTCCATTGGATCAGCATATAAAACAGCTTTATATAAGAAACAAAACTTATTAACAGGTTATAGTACCAGATACTATATAGATTTTATTAAATTATTTTTACTTGAAATTGAACTAGTATCTTATAATCTGATTTGTGAAGCACTAACTACTATATTATAAACCTACAGGTCTAAACAAATTTGCTTATATTATAATTTAAAAAATAATATTAGTATTTATATTAATTATTTTTTTAAAGTTAATCTGTTTTATATTAATATATTATTCTATGAAATCTATTGTGTTAAGAAAAAATATAAACTTATAATAGAAATTAGATTATAAGTCTTTTTTTATATAACTTTTTTTGTTTTAATCTAATTTTAATTTATAATTATTAGAAAGACCAGTGATTTTATTTTCATATATGTTAATTAAGTTTGAATAAGAGCTGGATATTTTAATATGACATATATAGAAAAAAAAATAAATCTAATATGAAAATAAATTTTTATACATTTGTCTTATGAATATTAAACTAGTAATATATATTTGAAAATCTAAAAATATTATTTACTGTACTATTAATTCACAGGTATATAGTTAATACAAGATTAAAATTATTAATTTAATGCTTTGTATAAAAATTAATATTGAAATCAAAACTTATAAATCAATAATAATTTTTGTCAAATTAATAAATCAGTATTAATTTTATTAATATTAATCAAAATTTCAATTTTTACTTAATATTAATTAATATTTTCAAAAAATATCAAAACTAATTATTTTATTGAAAATTTCAGTTTAGTATTTTAATTTAAAAATTAGTATTGAAATCAAAACTGATAAATCAATATTAATGTTTATTAAAATTCTAATAATAATAAAGTTGTTTCAATTAAGATTTTTAATATTATTTCAATACTAATTATTATAAAATTTAATATTATTTCTGTATATTTTGATATCAATTCAAAATTCTAGAGATTTTTTAATTGGAATTTTTTTTTCTTTTTACTTTTTCAAAAAAAATTTTTTTTGCTAAAGGTTTTTTTTAAATATATGGTATAATAATAACATTACTAAAGCATATGTTTCAAATTTTGAAAAGATTACATTAATAATTTTTTTATCAGGATTCTCAGAAATAAATCTTGACACAGTTGTTTCTGCTATATCTTCAAGTAAATTGTATAAAATAAATTTTTTTGTAACTATAAATAATAAATAAAATCGACAATAATTCAATATTTAATGTTATTTAAATAAAGTACTAAGGAGTAAGGCCTTGCGAGTTAAGTTAAAATAATAATAATAATATAAAATCTAATATAAATAAAATAATTGAATTCAAATAATTAAAAAGTTTTTTTTTCTTAATATTATTTGTTTTTTTTTAATTAATATTAAAATTGAATAATCTAATTTCACAGTATAATATACTAGATTATTAACATAATTATAAATATCTAATTATTATATTATTACATTGACAAATTAAAATATTTTTTTAGATGAAACATTATTGTAAAATCCAATTATCCAACAACATATATACTGTATATACAGTAAATCTAAGACTTACAATATCGCATTTTGATCCAAAGCATGAAAATTATTTTAAGAATAAAAGTTCTTTTAAAGATATTAAATTACCAATTACATATTTTGGTAGCAATCAGCTTAAAGTTTGAGTGTAATTAATTAAGTAGCAAAAATAAAAAAGAATGAATAAAAACAACCTTACTAAAGTTTATTTGCTGAGTGTGTTGAAAAAAAATGTAACAATCTAATGCCCAGATCACAGATCGAGAATTTGGATATATACAAATTAGAAGCTAAAGTATGTGTATAAACAGCCATGTCAATATATCGCGTTTGAGAATGAGGATATTTATAAAAGAATTAATCCGGTACCAAGAAAATATTCGGGTAAAAAAATTAAGCATGAATATCAAATGCTTATGAGTTCGAGTTTGCAGGAGAAGGATGATGTGATTGTTGAGGATCCTGGTTTACGAATAATCCCAGTACATTGTCGATGAAAAAGAAGTCTCGAACCATTCGTATCTAAATAATGAGAATGAATTAGCATCAAGTAATCTTTGCAAAATATTACCAAAAATAAAAACCATAACGCACGTAGTCACAGTCCTCTGGTTTACCGTCAACCATTCCACTCGTGCTGCCACCTTGCAGAGTATTATCACTCAATTCATTTCCTAAATTCATTTTCTTTTCTTCTAGTGTAAGTAAAATTAGATCAGACATTGAAATTTTTGAGGAGAAAACAAGAATTTTTATGAAAATATTTTAGCACTTAGTACCATTATCAGATTTAGCTTTACGACGTTTCACGGTGCGACTCTCGGAATTTAAATCTTTATCTTTTGTTTTTTGAGATTTCTTCCTTTTAAGGCTCTTATCCGAAGCGGGATCTGTGGTAGAACCCTTCGCAGAACGAGGTTTACGGGCTTTCTTTCTTGTTACTTTTTTTGTATTTTGATCATCTTTTTTATCTTTTGATTCCACTTTTACTGGTTCTTCAAAGATTGGCTCATACGGAGAAATGAAAACCTCTTTTGATACAGCATTATTAACCTCTAATTGCTCCTAAAGTTTAAAGTTTCATCAAATAAGCTTTTGGATCCCTTAATAATGATAAGAGAATATGTAACTTACCTCTTTTTTCAATTTTAGGGAAGCCTTCCACCGATTATAGGCCAAAGATCCCACGGAACTGAAAATTTTTTTTTAAAAAAATAAGCCAAATAAAAAGAATATCAACAATCATAATAAGTTATCATATTTACTCTTCCAAATCTTCGAGATCTTTAATTTCGTCATCCTCCCCCCATTTTGATATGTATGCTTTTTTCGCGTTGTTATAAACTTTAATGATTCTTTGCATTTTAAATCCATCACGAAGTGTCAATGGATGAACGCATCCTCGACGCTCAGCGTAACATTCCAAACAAATATCATAAGCGGATCCAGTTTCTGTAACACACTTGTAACAATGAAGGTGTCTGTTCCATAGGTCACAATGACAAAAATCACATGATAAATGTTGTCTACTATCCTGCGTCTGAAAGGATTTAATATAGAATTACTAGTGATGTCGGAAATGATAAAATTAAAAAATTTATATTTAAAGAAATATAAAAATTACTGTTGGGACATGATATTCTTCTTCCCATTGACTATTAGGGACCCATTCTTGATCCAGAATATACTTATATGCATTAAGCAATATCTTGTACTCTTTCTGTATGTCCCTACCCGGTGAATTTTTCATTCGAGTAGGGTAAACCAAACTTTGAGTAGATGACCGATTAGATTTTTTACGATTAAATGGACGACGCAAGTTAGGCGACAGGGCTTCAGACCATTTGACTATGCTCTCGTATATAACACGCTTTATCTGGTAAGTTTCCGGTCTTAAAACTCTAAATGAAAATATATAATTAATCAAAATATCAAATTACACGCACAATTAAATAATTAATACCTTCGATAATTTGGTATTGAACTAGTCAAAGCTAAAGCTACCGTGTGAGGAGTCAATCTATTCCACGAAACTTTTATGGTACAACCTCCCTATAAACAATAGAAGTTGATAATATTAACAAAAAAAAAAAAATCCTTAGAAACTGTAGAAACCTAAATTTTGAAGTTCATTTATACAAACCTCGTTTATAACTTCATGACAACACTCGGAGGGTACGAGTATAAAATCTCCAACACGTTGTTTGGTATGGTACACGGTAAAGTCAGTCTGAGATAATATATCAGGTGGTGCGTAATAATTCTCGAGATCAATATTATGATCTTTTTGCCGAATGAATGCGGTCATCTTCTCTCTATCGTCCCGACCCACCATATACCATGTAGACCAAGAGTCTAATTTATCGTTAAATCATTATGCGTTAAAATATTATATTAACAATAAATGGAATCGCACTGAATATTTTTTTTATTACCAGGATCTGTGTAAACCATTAGATTGTGTCCAAAGGCAGCGCAAATATCCTTATGCAATGGAGTTCTATTAACACAAATATTATATTTCAACGAGGAAAGATATAAGATGTAAGAATAACTATTTCAATTAAAACTTTAGTAATGGTCACTTGCTTTGTCCCCTTAATTCCAATATATAACATGAGATTGTCGGCTCGAAGGTCAGGATGCATGTTAGCTAAAAAAGATATTCCGATGAAATTAAAGCTTTAATAGACCGTAACCTTCAACAATTCATATTATCGCATGATGTTTTGACTTACACATTAAGTCATTAGTCCCATGATACTTGAAATAATTTGGCAAAAATTTTCCGACATAATCTTTCCATGGATTAGGACATATTATATCTTTGCCATATAACATCTGTTCGGCGGTTATCGTATGATCTTTCGTTTTCTCAACATAGTCTAAGTAATTTGACAAACTCATGGGCTCATCCAAATTCTTGTTCATATCACGAGTTATAATTTCTAGATAAGATTTTGCAAATAAAATCGGAAATGTGAGAATAGCACAATTCTAATGTCCATTAAGAATATATGTTTCATTGGTGATAATAATAAGAAAATTGGAAACAACATTAATAATAATGTTTTACCAATATGTTGTAGTTAACTAAGAAAATACAAACCGTATTCTCCATAATTTTGCCGAAGCCAGGTAATAGTGAAAAGCTCGCTGTCAAACTCTTTTTTTAAATGATAATTTTCGATCACAAGAGGAATGCCCTGTTCGACACAGATTACGTGAACTTGCTCAATTATTTCTTCGTCCGTCAACTTTGTTGCATCAATACGAGTCACCTCTTTAAATACTGGACTCGGCGAATTCTCCATCGGTAATATTGTCAAAAAGCTAAGGGATCTAATTTATAATATGATAAATTAAAGTATCAGTCGTAGTACGTATGTGCAAAATGTTTGTATCACGTGACTTGAAAATTCTATAAATATTTTGTGACAAGTAGTCTTGCACATTTGCCCTAAAAAAAAAATGGGGACTTTGGATCAAGTGGAATTAAACTTGAACGTTAAAATTGCTGTTATCGGAGGAAGCGGACTTTATAATTTCGATCATTTGAAGTACATTGGAGAGATTTATCCGGAAACCGTGAGTAATACTAGAGGACGTTTACTAGATAAATTTCTTGAAATGCTAAAATTTTTTCCGACTCATTTCATATTCATAAGCCATGGGGCTATCCCAGCAGTAAAATTATTATAGTCGAAGACCCACGTGGTTTTCAAATTGCATTCCTTTCTCGACACGGTTGGTAAACAATGCAATATTAATAATTAAATCTCTATTTGCTATCTATTTTACTGATTGTTATTTTTAATTATAGTAAGTATCTTATATTATTTTGATTACCAATGACAAAGAATATCGAATTGTCATCATTACATCATTGTTGATAATTCAATATTATAAATAAGTCCGTTTTGCATATTTGAGCAAGATAATGTCAACGATAAAGTATCGAGGAGCACAAGAAATTCGAAAAACATATGAGATTTCATCTGAAACATTGAGAAGGTGGAACAACCAAGGGAAGATATCGAGTATTAGAACACCTGGTGGCAACAGGTT